GTCATGTTAGGGAAGTGTACAAATCACAATATGATTGCTTACCTCAGCCTCCTCAAGGGCAGTCTGGATTTCAGACTTTTCTGTTTCAACCTGTTTCTTGGACTTCTCCAATTCATGGATGCTCTTGCCAGTCTCACCAATCTGCTCAGTCAAGTCAGAGATCTCCTCTATTGTAAATAAATCTCCATTGTAAACTCACGCTGCAAGTTCTTGTTTTCGCGCTTCATGGTCTCCAGGTGGTCAAGAGATTCTTCATAGGAGTTCTTCATCTTGAAAAGCTCAGTTCCCATTGAGCGGGCCTCCTTTTGAGCTCCCTCAAGCTCTGCCTGACCCTCTTCAAACTTCTGCTTCCATTCAGCCAGGACCTAAAGTGGGAAATTATCAAAAGAGGTTATGGTCAAATAGAAATGAAAAGGGTTAGGGTTAGAAATCAAATGGTTTACCTTGTCGAAGTTCCTCTGCTTCTTGTCAAGGTTGGCAGCAAGACCATTAGCTCTCTCCACATCAATCATGAGATCCTCAACCTCACTCTGCAACCTCTGTTTGGTCTTCTCCAGAGAAGCAAACTTGGAGTTGACAGCCTCAATCTGCTCCTCGGCCTTTTGGAGCCGTTGAGCAAGCTTTTTTCTTTATAAGAAATAGACATCATAAGTAAACCTACTGAATTTCAATGGTTTAGTTGTGCCGCAGTCTTTAAAACTCACTTGGATTCCTCAAGCTCCTCAGTGCGCTGGATAGCATCAGTTTCATACTTGGCTCTCCACTGAGCAACCTCGCTGTTGGCCTTAGACATTCCACGCTGAAGTTCAGCCTTGGCCTCCTGCTCCTCTTCAAACTGTTCCCTGAGCAGATCGCAATCGTGACGAGCTGACTGGAGTCCATGAGCAAGGGCATTCTTGGCCTGATGGTGCTTTCAGACCGAAAACGCTGAAACGCAGCAGCCCAGCTTACCAGACGCGCATTCTCTAGTTTTCAGACGCAGAGGCTTGCACACCGCCAAACGACGCACGAACACAAGCACGCCCACCTCACTACACTTCCGCCGGAAGCGTGAGGCGTATGGGCGGGCTTTCCATATTCACAACAACTCAACAAGATGGCGGATCAGGCGAGGCAGCAAGCGTTCGTTTACTTGGTTCATAGAGTTCTTGAACAACGGCGTGCACGACGGCGTGTCTGGGTTCCCGATATCCTCCAGAGACGGTCAGAGTATGGCGAGTTCCACCATTTGTTACAAGAGCTGCGGCTGGATGAGGTGCGATTTCAGCGGCACTTCCGTCTCACGGTGGCCCAGTTTGATGACCTGTTGGGCCGCGTAGGTGCACGAATCTCTCACCAAGACACCAACTACAGACGTTCCATCTCTCCTGCAGAGCGCCTCTCCATCTGCCTACGGTCAGTAATTGTGTATGTGAGTGTGTGTCTTTGTCTCTGTGTGTGTGCTCGGTCTGTTTGTGTGTGTCTTTGTCTCTGTGTGTGTGTTCGGTCTGTTTTGTGTGTGTCGTTGTCTCTGTGTGTGTCTTTATAAGTAAGTAATGTCTATTTATATAGCGCATTCTACAGACCAAGGTCACCCAAAGCGCTTTACAATGTTCAGAGTTCAGATATTGTTCCAATCATTCCACACATGGTGAGGGTGGAAGCGAGTCTGTCTGTGTGTGTTTATTTCTGTCTGTGTTTCCTTGTCTCTCTCTGTGTGTCTGTGTGTCTGTGTCTATTCTTCATGTATATAGCGCCTTTCACAGACCAGTCACAAAGCACCTGTCTATTGTTATGGGACATTTGTCTCTCACTCCATGTGCACATTCAATTAATGTCTTCTTTTTATTTTATCAGGTTCCTTGCCACTGGGGATTCGTATACTACCATCGGGAGCAGCTTCAGGGTCGGTGTGTCCACTGTCTCCAAAGTCGTCCCCGAGGTAGTTACGGCCATCTGGGACTCTCTGGTGGAGGAGTTCATGGCGGTTCCCACCACAGACGACTGGCGCTCCATTGCAGGGGAGTTCGAGAGGCGTTGGAACTTTCCTCTGTGCTGTGGTGCCGTGGATGGTAAACATGTGCGCATGAAGGCCCCTCCGAACGCTGGCTCCTTGTACTACAACTACAAGGGTTACCACTCCCTGGTGCTCCTCGCTGTTGTAGACGCCCAGTACCACTTTCGCGTGGTTGACGTTGGGGGATATGGCAGGAACAGCAACGGGGGGATCCTGGGCAACTCTGCCTTTGGTACGGCCCTGCGGGAAGGAACTCTCCGGCTGCCTCCTGACCAGTGCCTTCCAGGCGCTGACCACAGAGGGCCCCAGCCCTATGTCTTTGTGGCCGATGAAGCGTTCCCACTGCAGCGGCACATGATGCGTCCCTATTCCCTGAAAGAAACTGACTGCATTTCTGTTCTTTGTCACCATTTTGTTAGCGCTAATAAATTTTTGCCTTACTTGAAGTGTTGTTTCTGTTTAATGTATGTTTTAATTTAAAATGCTTTAGGTAAACACTTACAGCTAACGAGACGTGAAGTCAAGTTAAAAGTTGTTCATAATACCTAGTTTTGTTTTGAAACGTTACTCTATGATCCTTCTTATTCAGCCCCAATTATAGGCAATGTCAAATCAGACATTTAGCTTTGGAATGGAATGGTTCACTAGTGGAAAATAAAGTACCACATACTTTGATTAGTCCATTCGTACCTTTTCTCGTGCACAGAGTCATAGAGAGTATTGTGCATGAGAAATACTCTGTTTAACACACACCACATTAAAGATAGAGTATGAATTTTAAATATTAGAAACTGCGATCATGTAAATAAACTTTATGTAGGTGAGTTCAGAATATTATTTTGGTTCCCTAGTACTCCAATTGCTATTACTAAAACCCTTACTGTTTGTGCGAGTATGGCAGATATTAACATTGGGCCCTCAACATTTGTTATCGTCATATAAAGACATTCCTCTGTACTTTAATTTGGTAACATGTTAGTACGCGCCTTATATTACCTGAGCTTTGGAGAATTCTACAATGTGAAGTTGCTGTTCCCTTATCCTTACTTGCTTAATCATAATACAGTGTAATTAAACTGTTTAAAACGACCCTTGATTTAGGAGGAGCCAAAGTAAATTTTGTATCTACGCCTCTTAATGACAAGATTAAAAAGAACCTAGGAAATGTATCTACATAGACACAAGAGATTCACACAACACTTTTATTTACATATATACAATTGCATGGAGTGAGGTCACATGGCTATCCCTGCACATTGGATGGTGGCGCATTTTCCTTTTCTGCAAGTTCCTTGTAGATGATGTTCGAAAACCTCCGTTTGATTCTGTAACGGGCATGGGGCTCCAATTTCCCCAATAGAGGGACCAGACAGGAAAATATACGCCGTGTAGTGGCGTGATTACGTCAGTGGTGTGCGTGCTCTCTGATTGGTCGCTGCACGAACATCTCGAGGAAAAGTTGAGCGGAATCCATCTCCTGTGGGCGTTCATTTTCCGCTCCTTCTCCTCCCCTTTGACTTTCCCGCCAAGTCCGTGCGTTTCTACTGGGCGGTCCGTGCGTGTGTGCCGAGAGGTCCGTGCAATGCGACGCTGAAACGCGACTCCCCATTGACTTTGCATTGAACGCAGACGCAACGACTGTCCCAGTCTGAAAGCACCATGAGGGAACAAATACATTATTGTATTTGTTGTATTGTATTTCAGATGGAATTTGTTTGTTACATACCTTGACCTCCTCCTCAATTTGCCTCTTGGTCTCCTCAATCTGCTGTGTGAAAGCCTGTTTACCTCTTGTCAGCTGAGAGACCAGGGATTCCTTCTCTTCGACCAAGGTATTCGCACTATTGTGGAAGTTAATGAGAAGAGGCGAGATGAGTTCAGTGTAGACTCTTTATTCTCAACTTCACGCTGTTCAAGAATGACTAAGGTCAAGTTGGAAGCACTCAAAAAGTAACATCCAACTCATGTCCACACTTCTGATAAATGGCCCTTTACAATGAGATTACCATTTGTGTGTGAGACGGATTACCACACTATTCTCAAGATACTATAGTATAATTCAATGCTTAAATAAACAAGAATACACATAACACACATCTTTTCTTATAGACAGAAAGGACAGACACATGTATGTAAAAACGTAGCTGTAGGATTAGGCAAATTAAAGCCTGGCAGACAAAATGACCCCAGCAGAAATATTGCATGGGAATTCAAAATTTGTTGTTACTTTATTTTTGTTTAGGAGCCACACAACCTATGTTCTTTATGGCCATGTTCTTGTTTTATGTTTTTTGTTTGTTAAAAATGACCAGCAACCATGCAGTTAAATTCTTACTAAACCAATGCAGAGTCAAACATTGAAAATCTTGTCTCTAAATGTTAATGGGTTAGGAAATGCTGTTAAAAGAGCAAGGGTAATGAATAAGTTAAAAAAAGATGATGCACACATTATTCTGCTTCAGGAAACACACCTGAGTGACAAAGAGCATGATAAATTAGTTACATTTGGATATAGAGATATATTTTACAGTTCATTCTCACAAAGTCATAGAAGAGGAGTAGCAATACTTATTTCCAAAAAAATCAATTTTGAAAAAAAGACTGAAGTGAAGGATAAAGAGGGCCGATATGTCTTGATAAAAGGCACCATTGGAAACAGCCTTATAACATTGGTAAACATTTATGCTCCTCCCGAAATTGACAGAGGTTTCTATAAAGTAATGTTTGATATTGTAACAAAGGAGACTGAAGGAATTTGTATATGTGGAGGTGATTTCAATGCAGTGCTGGATTTAAACATGGATACCACTAGTAAAAACAGGAGCAAGAAAAAGTTAACAAAGCAACTCTGTGCCACTCTTGGGGAAATAGGTATGGTAGATGTATGGAGAAAACTTCATCCTCTTGATAGAGACTACACGCATTACTCTGTACCCCATGCGGTACACTCCAGAATAGATTACTTTCTAATGGGACAAGAAGATCAATACAGAGTAACTGAATGTAGAATCGGAGTAGCAGATGTCTCTGATCACAACTCTATCTATTTAACTATAAACCTGGAGAACAGGCCAAAGAGCACGGTTTGGAGACTGAATGTGGGGCTGCTTAACAACAAGGCCACTGTTGATTGTATTAAAAACGAGATAAAAACCTTTATTGAGGATAATGACAATGGCCAGGTTGATCCATTAATATTGTGGGACTCATTAAAAGCATTCCTGAGGGGAAAATTAATAGCCATAGCAGCGTTCCAAAAGAAAAAGCGAATTGAACAATATACCAAATTATTGGGTAACTTGAAGGACCAAGAACACAAACTAAAATTTAAGAAAGATCCAGAGTCCCTAAAAGAAATAAAGAATTTGAAATTACAAAGACATTTAGATTACGAGGTTGAAAAAAAGGCTAGATACACAAAACAGTCTTATTACGAACTTGGCCCAAAATCTACAAAATTACTTGCTAGAAAACTTCGTAAACAGCAGTCAGATTCAACAATTACAAAAATTAGAGACCCTATTTCACAAGAATTACAGACAGACCCTCAAAAAATAGAAAGTACATTTTTTCAATACTATAACAGCCTGTACTCACAAGAGGGCGCTCACGATAAAGTTTCAACCAAAGAATTTCTGGATAAATTGGACCTTCCCTGCATTGGTGAGACCCAAAACAAAACGATTACAGCACAAATAACTCAAAAAGACATTGATAAGGCAATAAGCAGAGCAAAAACGAATAAGGCCCCAGGTAGTGATGGTTTCCCCATAGAGTGGTACAGAAAGTTTAAGGAAGAGTTGTCCCCAGTTCTTCTCCGAGCCATTAACTATGTCCACAAACACGGTCACACTCCTCCCTCCTGGAAAGACGCAATCATTACTTTAATCCCAAAAGAAAATAAAGACCGGGAAAATTGTGCCAATTATAGGCCTATATCAATGTTGAATGTGGATTACAAATTATATACATCGATTCTTACAAAAAGATTTGAAACCTTCATGACAGATCTGATTGATGAAGATCAGACTGGCTTTGTGGCAGGAAGACAAACTCAGGATAATATCAGACGTAGTTTGCATATAATTCACACTATATCTAAACATAAACTGAAAGCAGCTTTAATCAGCCTTGATGCTGAAAAGGCTTTCGATCGTGTGAATTGGGAATTCCTGTATCAAACATTAGAGAAATTTGGCCTAAACCAAGACTCGATCAAATGTATCAGATCAATCTATGACCGGCCGACTGCAAGAATCAAAGTAAATGGATCTCTGACAGACAGATTTGAACTGCAACGGGGCACGAGACAGGGCTGCGGAATCAGCCCCACTCTCTTTGCCCTTTACATGGAGCCTCTGGCCCAGGCTATACGCCAGGCTGAGGATCTGAAAGGCATTAAGATTAATGACAGAGAACAAAAGATAGGATTATTTGCAGATGATGTGCTACTATTCATTAAAGACATTAACACCTCCCTACATAAACTAATGAACCTCTTAGGCACATTTGCCTCTCATGCTGGATACAACTTAAACATTCTTAAAACCCAAATTCTAATTTTCAACCACAAACCCTCACAAGAAATTATGCAGGAATACAAAATAAAGTGGGATAGTAAAAAAATGAAGTATCTAGGAGTGTTTTTGACAAAGGACCCATCACGCTTGTATGAGGCTAATTTTAATCCAATCAATCAAAACATAAAATCAGATATTCAAAGATGGTCCACTTATCCCTTAGATTTCACAAATAGGATAGATGTGATAAAAATGAACACTCTGCCAAGATTGCTCTACCTATTCCAGTCGCTCCCTGTAGACATACCTGCTAAACAATTCATAGAATGGGATCGAATGATATCCAGATTCATTTGGGACGGAAAGAAGGCAAGAGTCAGGTACTCAACGCTACAGCTGACTAAAGCACGGGGTGGCATGGCCCTTCCCAGCTTGAGGTTGTATTTTTATGCTGCTCAATTGCGATATTTATACTATTGGTGTGACCCTGAGTAATATACCAAGTGGAAAGAGATCGAAACATGTTCACCCAAATTCAAACTGTCCTGGGGGAAGATGACTTACCTAATGATATTAAAGCTCAACTTAGTCCAGTAACAATATTCACAATTGACACTTGGTACAAAATTACAAGACAATTGAAACTGAAGTCACAAAGAAAAGTATTAAGATGGATATATTTAGCTGGCTATTTCAAAATGGCAAAACATGATACAACATTCAAAAGCTGGATCCATAAGGGTGTCACTTCCTTCCTCACAGATACTAAAAACAACGAGATGAGAAGCTTTCAGGATTTTAAAGCAGCATTTGGTCTGGCTAATCATGATTTTTTTCATTATCTACAAATACGTGAATATTTTAATAAATAAATCAGAAACAAAAGAGACATAGACCCAGTTTTGGAAACTATAATTGGTGCGTATGAACAAAAAAACAAAAAAGATTCTACACAAGTCTGATGGCCAGTCAAAATGACGCAACATTGAATGTCCAAGAGAAGTGGGAGAAGGAAATGGCCATTACCATTTCAGATCAGGACTGGTACAGAATTTCTGAGCTGTGTCTGTCTTCTACCACTTCTCCGAAGTGGAGAGAATTCAATTGGAAAAATTTTATTCATTTCTTTATTACACCCCATAAAAAGCAGGCAGCTTGCTAACCAGCAGATGTGCTGGAGGCATTGTGGTACTGCTGATGCAAATCACACACACACATCTTGTGGACCTGCCCACAGATCAAACCTTATTGGAACTCAATACATTCATCACTGTCTGACATACTATGATACTGTTCACCTTGTACACCAACAGTGCTATATCTTGGCAATATTTTTGATGTGGTTGGTTTACAAGATCAGTGCCTGGTGAAAATACTGTTAACTGCTGAGAAGAAAGTCATAACAAGGAGGTGGGTTAAACCTGAGCCCCCCAGTCGGACTGAGTGGACAGATATTGTGCAAGAAATTTAAAGATTGGAAAAAATTACCTTAGCTCTAAGACTGAAAGAGGACAAATTTGAGGAAAAATTGGGACAAATGGAAGGCATATGTTGGCAAATCTCAGGACTTGCGCAAGATGTGACTACTAAATTGGAATGTGTGTATTATTGGCACAAAGTTTGAAATTATCGAATTGTGAACATTGACGTTTTGAATGGTTCCTTACATGTCTGTTTTGTACATGTTTTTCCTTTGTCAAACAAAAGTTATATTTAAAAAAAGGAGGTGACATTTTGGTACATTTTAAGAACTGGAAGTCTAGCTTTGTGTCCCGTTTGGAGTACTGCTTTCTGCTTTCTGGGTACGCAGACAGAAAAGAGTTTTGAAACAGGAGCAGAATGGAAAGTTCTGGGGCCGTAATGCTTAAAGAGTCCTGTCAGAGAGCTCCTAACATAACCTAAAAACACCTAGCTACTGTAGGAGTCTTAGCTTAAAAGTTATTCCAGAACATTCTCAGAGAACTCTGAGCAAGGAATTGACAAAAACTCCTATCTTAGTGAGGAGGCGTGGGCGACCCCGTTGCTAGGTATGAGTCGTCATTTCAAACGCTGTGATTGGTTGATCATAAAAGTCAGAGAAAACATATTTTTGGTGATAATGGGCAAAATAAGGACCCTAAAATGAACAAACTCAATCATGGAATCTAATCTTAGGAAGACTGTGTCATTGTAAATAATAGTCAGAAAAGATAGAAAGTCAGACATATGAATGTAAAATGAATGCTGTGAATAGTAGGTTATACTTTTACACAAACCATCAAAGCTTGCTCAGTACCAA